GAGTAACTATTTATGTGAATTATCAAATTCCATTTTGTTTCCATAACTATGTCTTTAAAAGATGTGTTCAAAAGAGTTGTCAAGTTATGCTTTTCTTACCTTGGAAAGACATAAAATTGTCTTTCCAAATTAATATGCTTTATTCACTCTTTGTTGTTAGCACATCTTTCTGGGTCTCTGAATAGAAATACTTCATCTAACAGGCTGTTATTACCAGGGCTTTTCCTCCTGCTCACATCCTCCTGGTTGCCCTTGTTCCCTTGTTAGATGTGCTTATTTTTTTTCTTCCAAACATTTGAGAGGACTCATAACAGTTCTCCTCTAGCTGCCTCACCCTCAGATAGTCTAAGCGAGACGTTGGATAGCTAATACCTAATCCATCTGAAGTCTAAGGATGTTCTGAAATGTCAGAAAAAGCTTTTCCAGATCAATCTGTACACTGGTGAGGAAAAATTCAGGAACATTTGTGTCTTTGTGTTGGTGGGCAACTATTGAGTCACCTGATCTCTGTAAAGTTTGGCATTCTCAATGTATCTTCTCCCTAGTGACCCCTCCCCTCCGACCCAGAGAAGGAGGCTCTGCTCTAGCATCAACCAAGAACAAGCTATCATTTTGCTTTGGTGAATAAGAATTACAAAGGAACCCTAAAGGAACCTCTGAGATAGAGTTAGTGAGCAGTATGTTTATGCAGATATTTCATACAGAAAACTTTAAATTTATTTATGCCCTTGATTTATAAACCACACCTGTATCTATTTATTAAGGATTTATAAAGTTGTGTATTAATGTAACATGTCAGTACATGGCCCACCCCTGTATTTTCCATGAAATAATCTCTGTTAGGTTTTCCATTGTCTTCTTGCATTTCATTTTTAAAGAAAAAAATATATAAAAAACCCAAACATTTGGAAAATGGACAGAGATTAGTAACTCAGTTATCATGATTTTAATGCTGGTTCTGAATTCTGTAAGAGGGAACATTCCTCATTTGTCACAAAGTAGCAATATTAGGATTTGTCCAAGTAATCTACACACGTAGAAACATCCCAGAAAGCGTCTGGGTTCAGGAGCTCAGATCAGTCTTCTTGTTATATGCAAGTTTCTTTTATAAGTGTCCCTGACAGGGAGAGCGATGTGCCTGACTATGGGAAGGAGTCTGGATCCTTATATTGCTAAGTCCTCGGGTGATGGAAAGCGGCACATGGAAGATGATACTTACAAAGAAGTAAGCTGAAGCTGATTTTTTTTTTCTTCCTGGAAATCTGGTATATGCTGAATAAGCCTTTAATTTGATCTTCTTTAAATGCACGCCTCAGCTGTTCAGTAGAGAAGGAGCTGACAAAGGGGAAACCCGTCTCCAACCTCCAGCACTCGTCTCTAAGAGGCTCTTTTCTAGTAAATGGCAGTCTATTAAGGTTCTTCCAAGACTTAATCAAAGCACTGCCCAGAAATATCTGCCACTGTGTGAACAGCTCTCTCCTTTCGCTGTAAGAGCCAGCATCTCTAATTTATAGCTCTCCTGGTCCTGCTAAGCCTTCCCTGGGCCCAGCGTGGGGCTTCTCACTCCCTGTGGTTCTCAGGGGCAACAGGAAGTTGAGGGGGAGGCTGTAGAGCCAGGCAGCAGGCACCGATGCTGTCAAGACAGCATTACTCTCTTCTCTGTTAAAGAGAGCTAAATCCAATTGACACATACCGAAGTAAACAGGCAGTGACATATTTGTAGACAAATTGTCATACTGTAAATCATCCACAAAACAAATGGTTTTTGATTTGCGCTCAAAGATTGGGGAAGAAATCTGCCAGCACTAACAGCTGCTCCCCTTTCAAAGGAAACAAGCAGTTAATGAAAAAATTAATTTAAAAATAATGTTCTACTGCTGCAAAAATTCCTTAGGGGAAATATTTAACACTGCTCAAAACTAAAAGAAAATATACTTGTTTCAAGTCCTATAGAAATTTCTTAGTTTCCCTAGGGTCTAAGCTGAGTTTTGAAATCATGTGAAAGTTTTGTAGTGTTGAAACAATATTTTAAAAAAGTAATAATGAAACAGTATAAAAATATATCTAAATATTTTTCTTATGATTCTTTTCTCATTCCTCAAAATTTAATACTGTCCCTAAAATAATATTGAGTTTCACTTTTCATGTCATCTTGGTGGCAAATCCTTTTTGATGATTAAGGTACATTCTTGTATCCCTGGCAACTTCATAGGGTCATCTGGAAATTACTATGAAAACTGCTGTCCATCAACATCCTTAAGACCCAGTTATCCCAACAGTGACTGACTGTGCTTTATGCAAAGGTTATATCATCATTTATGTCCCCATTCTTTCTTTCTTAAACCAACCTCAACTGATGTGCGCAGGCTACTATAACAAAGCACCAGATGTGGGTCAGCTAAAATAACAGATAGCAATTTTTCACCCTTCTTAACTGGTAAGAATGAGGTCACAGGGCCACTGTGGCCAGGCTGTATTGAGAATCTATTTCTTGGAGAGTACTTGGTTGATCCTCTCTGTACCTTCAAACGGGTCAGAGGAATAGAAGGCAAGAAGGAAGATGCGAGATTGGAGCTGTGATGTGTCTTCTTCCTCTGCTGAGGACAGTGATACCATTGTGAAGTGGCTCTACCTTCAAGATCTCATTGAAGCCTAAGGAGACACTGAATCCTCATCCTCTACCACTGTCGGAAGATAGTTATGGCAGTTTAAAAGAAAATGGCCTCCAAAAGGAGTGGCACTATTAGGAGGTGTTGCTTTGTGGAGTAGGTATGGTCTTATTGGAGTAAGTGTGTCACTGTGGAGGTGGGCTTTGAGGTCTCATTTATGCTCACAGTATCAGCCAGTATATCAGACTTTGTGCTGCCTGTAAGATATAGGACTCTTAGCTACTTGCCTAGCATCATATCTGCCTGAACACTGCTATGTCCCACCGTTGATGATAATAGACTGAACTTTTTAAATTTTTTTTTATTTTATAATTTAATTTAATTTTACATATCAGCCACAGATTCCCCTGTCCTCCCCCCTCCCACCGCCACGCCCCACTACCTTCCCCCCAGCCTACCCCCCATTCTCATCTCCTCCAGGGCAAAGACTCCCCTGGGGATTCAGCTCAACCTGGTAGATTCAGTCCAGGCAGGTCCAGTCCCCTCCTCCCAGGCTGAGTGAAGTGTCCCTGCATAAGCCCCAGGTTTCAAACTGCGGGCTCATGCACTAAGGACAGGTCCCTGGCCCAGTGCCTGGGTGCCTCCCAAACAGTTCAAGATGATCAACTGTCTCACTTATCCAGAGGGCCTGATCCAGATGGGGGTCTCCTCAGCTATTGGTTTATAGTTCATATGTTTCCACTAGTTTGGCTATTTGTCCCTGTGCTTTTTCCAATCTTGGTCTCAACAATTTCTGCTCATACAATCCCTCCTCTTTCTCGCCAATTGAATTCCCGGAGCTCCACATGGGGCCTGGCCGTGGATCTTTGCATCTGGTTCCCTCAGTCATTGGATGAGATTTCTAGCACGACAGTTAGGGTGTTTGGCCATCCTATCACCAGAGTAGGTCAGTTCAGGCTTTCTCTCACCCATTGCCAGTTGTCTATTGTGGAGGTATCTTTGTGGATTTCTGGGGACCTCTCTAGCACTTTGCTTCTTCCTATTCTCATGTTGTCTTCATTTATCATGGTCTCTTCTTCCTTGTTCTCCCTCTCTGTTCTTGATCCAGCTTGGATCTCCCACTTCCCTAAGCTCTTTTTCCCTTAAACTTTGTCCTTCATTACCCCCACTCATGTCCAGGTTGTTTCCCAAGACCCAGCTATACCACTCTTGGGCATATACCCAAGGAATGCTCAATCATACCACAAGGGCACTTGCTCAGCTATATTCATAGCAGCATTGTTTGTAATAGCTAGAACCTGGAAACAACCTAGATGCCCTTTAACTGAAGAATGGATAAATAAAATGTGGTACATGTACACAATGGAGTACTACTCAGCAGAAAAAAACAATGACATCATGAGGTTTGTAGGAAAAGGGATGGATCTAGAAAAAAATCATCCTGAGTGAGGTAACCCAGACTCAGAAAGACAAACATGGTACATACTCACTCATAGAAGAATACTAGATGTAAAACAAAGATGACTAGACTGCTACTCACAACTCCAGGGAGGCTACCTAGAAAACAGGACCCTAAGAAAGACACAGGGATCACCCAATGACAGAGAAATGGATGAGCTCTACATAGACTAAACTTCTGAACTGTAATTGAGCAACCCCAATTAAATGTTTTTCTTTATAAGAGTTGCCATGGTTGTGCTGTCTCTGCACAGCAATAGAAACCCTAAGACAGAAGTGAAAATGAAAGGGACTAGACTGTTTGCATGCTGGTAAAAATGACTCAGCATTGAGAGAGAGCCTGATGGAGAGTGAAAAAATGGGAACCAGGAAAAGAACAGAGCCATAGAAATATGAGGAGAGATGGGTCCCATATAGAGAACAAGTGATAGAATTTTTCTTTGCCTGAAGAAACTGGGATGTTTCATCTGTGTCATAGGAAGGATAAGAGAAATCAGAATGGATCCTAGGAAATTGTGAATTGCTTGGCAGAAAGATAAGGAATGTGTGATATATCTACAAGACAACAATGTATTCTTCCAAGTCAGCATCAACTCCTGGACACACTCATCAATCTATGAACAGTTCACTTTTATTTAGTTGCTTTTAATAACATAATATGCATCTCTAAAAATAGCACACAATCAAAAGCATTAGTAATGAAACACATCTCACCAAAGAGTACACCCCACTCCTGATATCAACCTCTGTCTTAGTAAGGGTTTCTTTTACTGTGAAGAGACACCATGACCACAGCAAATTTTTTCTTCTATGTTTTTATTAAGAAAACTTTCATTTTACATACCAATCAAAGATCGCCCTCTCCCTTCCTCCCACATACCCCAGCCTCCCCCTCCCAACCCAACTCCCACTTCCCCCACAAGAAGGCAGGCACATCCAGTAGAGGCAAGTCCAAGGCCCTCCCTCTGCCTCAAGGCTGTGCGATGTGTCCCATCATAGGTAGTGTGCTCCAAAAAGCCTGCTCAACTGTCATCACAGAGCTTTTCTTCAGTGACCGATGGAAGCAGATGCAGAGATCCATAACAACTTTTATAAAGAAAGGACATTTAGTTGGGGGGGGGGCTTACATTTTCAGAGGTTTAGTCAATTATCATGGTGTGACATGGTGGCATGCAGACAGACATGGTGCTGGAAAAGTAGCTGAGTGTCCTACATCTCAACAGAAAGGCAACAGGAAATGGTCTGTGACATTGAGCATGGCTTGAACATATATGAGACCTCAAAGCCTGCCTCCTCAATGACACACATCCTCCAACAAGGCTATACCTACTCCAACAAAGCCACACTGACTAATAGTGTCACTCCCTGTGGGAGCCATTTTCTTTCAAACCATCACAGTAGTATATGGTGTCAATATATAAACTTGAGTGAATTATATACAAATATCTGGCCCATGACTTTATTGATTATATACAATCTGCTACTCACTACTGCCTAACTCCAGAACTGATTATTCAGTTCCCTCTCTCAATGTTTCAAGACCACTCTTGATTGTCTTTATTGCATTTATTTTAACTGTGGTGGGCTAAGTAGCCAATGTGATTGATTTATTTAAATCCATTGTAGATATTTAGGTCAAAGTTTAAGGGCAACTGCAAGCAGTATGTATTGAGACTGAGCATTTAACATGACAAAGTAAACCTCCAGGCAACCTGAGTAACATTCTACACCAAAGAAACTTGTGGGTCTTGACCCCCTTAGGATAGAATGACCTTTTCACAGGAGTTGCCAAAGACCACCAGAAAATACAGACATTTACATGATGATTCATAACAGTAGCACAATTACAGTTTTGAACTAGCAATGAAAATAATTTTTATTGTTGGGGAGGGGTCACCACAACATGAGGAACTACATTAAAGGGTCACAGCATGAAGGAGGTTGAGAAACACTGGCCTAAGAGTTGCCACCTCACTGGTCCTTATTCACTATCATACAGAATACATCTCATCTCAGAAGCCAAACTCCTCTTGTTTCTCACTGTAGTAAGTTATAATAAGTCCATTGGATTTTGAACATTCATTCATCCATCAGATTAGCGAAATGTGCAATTTAATATTTTGTAACTTGTATCATATCCTTTAATACTGTTACTTAATATCACCTTTTCTCAATTTTTTAATCCCCTTTCCCTATTTAATGCCATTATGACTGAATACTCACTCTAATTTATCTGCAATTACTGCTTCCTATAATTTATATTGCATATATTTGTCATTTTGAATTATTTAAAACTTTAAAATATTGAGAGCATATATTTCATATAGTGTTTTATTCCTAAAATAAGAAAGTGATATGTTCTATAGAGGCATTTCAGAAATTAATTTTCTTCCACATTTCTATTATTCTAAATATTTGATCCCTTATACAATACTATCTAATGTTTCATTCTCTGGAGTTAAGGACATAATCCTTGTTGAAATATGTGAGGGCTAGAGAGACCCCCTGAAACCTTTGGAAGTTGTCATTTGCCATTTCAGAGAGTGAGTGCATTTTTTTTTAAAGGCAAACCAAGTCTTGCTGCCATTCCTGTGTCTCCTCTTTACACTTCACAGACAGTGATACTTCCCATCCATGTATCCATCCTTGCTTCCCTTTAATATAATCTACCCTTTAAGTTTACCTAAATTAATGTGCTAGAAATAAATTCTTCTAAGTTTAAGGTCTACCATGATGTCAGTAACTGATGAGTGAGTTTTCATTATCAAATAGGAACCAAGCATTTGAAAAAAATGTAGAAACAGTTGATGTTAAAAATTTTTGTGTTTGTATTTAAGAGGTTGTATTTGAGGCCTAATTCTCTGATTTATTTTTTTTCAGTGGAGGGGCAATGGATTTGAGTTACTTCACCTTCAATTTATTATCTGTAAAATAATGATAATGAGGAGAAGGGAAGGAGGAGGAGAATGATATCTATCTATAGAACCTAGAAAGCAGTCAATGTTATAGTAGGTTTGCATTCAAAACATTCTGTTTCACAATGCTGTGTGCAGAATGATAGCTGTTATTATTCCTTTATTTCCCCTACTGTCTACCATGATAACTAGGGTGTCTCTTGAGAGCGATGAGCTAGAGTGTTTAAATTGTTTCTGGGTTTATCTTAACAAACGTCATTGTAATAAAATCAACATCACCTATAGGAACCGAGGGCTCTTTATAATCAAGTTTGAAAGTTTGTTGAAATACAAAAAAGGGGGGTGGACTGTAGAATTGTGTGAGTTCCTCTCAGTCATTTATGACCAAGGGCAGCAACGTCACTTCTGGGACTTCATGAAAAATGTTTTAATACATTCTGCCACTTCGTTTCTCCAGAAATTCTATCACCAATTAGCTTATGGAGAACAGCATTGTTCTTTCTTTTTTTGTATTAATTGCTAAACTGAAGAAACACATCACAGAGGCCCTGACACCAGGGGAAGAAGAGACTGATGATATTCACACAGGTATGTGTCAGAGGGCTGCTGTACACAAGGTTATGAGAAGGTACTGGCCCTGAGACACATGGGCAATAAGAAAACAAGGAACTTGTTAAGGTCCGTGATGAGTAAGGGGTCCTGAGAGATTGATAGCATGCTCCAGTAACAGATGATGACCCCCAGGCAACTTCAATTTAAGTCTTCATTCTTATTCTGTCATCCTCTGGAATAGCTCTCTGACTACATAATGCTTCAGTTTCCTAAACTGTCCAACTCACAGATCATGTAGTATGATTAAATTAAGTGTTATACATATAGATGATTTAAAGCAATATTATAACTTACTCATATTTGATACCATTACCGACATTCTGCACATCTGACATTAAAATTCTTAAGGGAAATGGATGTTATTAAAACCTTGGAACAGTAAAAGAAATAAAGCTACTATCAATTCTTAGAAACTGAGATCCAAGGTAGAAGTTGTGGTCAAACACAAATAAATAGGTCAAAGTGCGCCAGAATGGCATGAAGCATAATGTAGAAGAAAGTATTGTCAGCTGTGCTGGGAATGAAGGAGGAATGGGAAAAGATAAGGCAGGACACTAGGATAAGTTGGGAGCTAACTTGGAAAAGCAGTTATCTCCCAAGTTATCCTAGTTATCAGACATACCAACTTCTTTATTTACACAGAGGAGATGGTGCTCTGAATTCCAAATATTAATATGTAATGCGTGTTTAGGAAAAGGAACCGTGTATTACCATTGTCTATTTTTTCACTCAAAGTATCTGCCTTTTATTTTATCATTTAGATGGAAAAAAAGGTTCCTGGAGGTTTGAAATGTGATATAGTCAGTTGATAATTTAAATTGCTAAAGACTATTCAAATTTAAATTATTCATTTGGAGTAGTCTGGTTTCATACAACCCACAATATTTACCTGAGGTCAAGTTGACCACAGGAGCCTTCCGTTTCCCAGGTCTTTATGACACAACTCAGAAATCAACTTTGCCCTTTTGCCTTCTCTCTCAGTTAGAAGCTATCATGCCATAAAAGAATATTTCCCATTTCTTTCTAATTATGAGCATCAATATAAAATATTATAAGATTATATGCACAGAGCCTTCTGAGTGCTTAGTCCATGCACGTCACAGGGTTCTCAAAGGGAGCAGAGTATAGTAACAAAGAAGGATGATGGGAACATCTACATACTTACGCTGTGTGTTACAGGAGAGGCAAAATGAGCAGGACAGCCACTGCCCCCAGCTTCTCGGAGTAGCACAGAGGTCTATGGATCTAAAAGAGATAAATGCTCAGTTCTCGACATAAGCGCTAAGAGTACAGAGCCAGTGCAATGCATAAAGGAGGTAAAAGTTCCAGATGCCATGAGTCCTTCACACTTGTCTTAGACCCTATCAACAGAATCTTTCCAACCAACTGCAGGCTACAACAGAGAATAGACATAATCGTCTGATTCAATGAATATATTGAGGAATGCAAAAAGACCTGCTTTTAATATTTTCCAAAGTTAAAACTCACCTGAAACATATCATATTGTGTTTTGTCATGTTATAGTTCTGTGTTGAGCCCAAAGTTACCCAAACATTGCACTAAGTACCTTTGGAACTAGACATCCTTGAGAGCATCTAGCTGTCAGTAGACCACACTTCATAATTCACAAAGGACAATGAACTACTTATTGGCCTGTATAAGCATCATTGTCCTGAAATAACCAATAAAACAGGGACAGTGTCTGAAAATAAAGTGTAAAGGACCAAAATAAACATTTTTAAATGTACACTGCTTGCTCCCCTTCCCCCTCTCTCTTTTTCTCATTCTCTCTCTGTTGAGTAATATTTTTATTGCTACTCTATCACTATAGTTATAATAAACCTTTGTGACACTAGTAAACAGGAATGTTTGCATTTAAATTCTAAATGTGTTATCTTAGCACTTTTACAAGATACTTTGAATGGAAGTCACATAAATTCTCTAAATTCATTAATGTATACCAATTTTTCTTTACATCCTCTGCTTCCTATCCCAGCTCCTTAATGGCTGCTTATAGCATTGAAATGATGATGCCTCTCTGTGGCTCATCTCCAAAGGCATTATGAACTGAATTTGCCTTTTGCATTCTCATTTTTAAGGATTTATGGTAGGATATAGTGGTGACACATGGTGGCTTCCACCAGTCTGGAGTACCAGCTGGTGGTTCTTGGTTGTTAAATAATCATCCAGATTTTTCTTTTGTCATTTGGAGAAAAGAGGGATTAATAATACATTTTGAATTAGAATTAAAAAATAATAATGACCTTGACAATACATTCAGAAAGGTGAAATTAATCATTACAGAAAAACTCTCATCTTTTGTACAGATTGGTTAAACTGATTAACAACCAAGAACCAATGTGCTCATTACTTAAGCAGGTGGACAAAAAAAAAGCATAAAGTAGGAGGAGATGAGGTCATTAGAACACATTAGGAGCAACTCTGGGCCAGGCTTTGAGCATACCCACTTGAATTATCCACTGCAGTATTTTTATATATTTGCTGAATTATTAATTAAGAGCTTATAGGTGCACACTTTCAGTATTAAATATTACTTTTATTTTCATGTCAGCATTTTCATAAAAGTTAAATAGATTCAAATAATACAACTATGGTTGTTTCAATAAAACTTTACATAGATCTTCCAAAATTACCCACACAAACTTACAATAACAATATCATTAATATTCTATTTTAGAAATCAAACAGCCTAGATATTAAAAACACATTTCAGTCACAATTGCAAAGTTAATAAAAGGCAGAATCAGGACTGAAAATCTGTCTCATGAAACAAACTAGCTCTGAGACATTAGCCTGCAGGCAAGGGAATGGACAAGATGGTTCACCCCGATGACAACAGAACTTGATTTACTTTTTTAAAAGATTTCATTTTCTTTGCAATTGTGTGTATGTGTGCATGTATGTGAGTATGTGCCATGTGTGTAAGTGCCTGAGGAGATGGGGTGCTCTATTTTACAGAGCTGGATTTACAGGCTGCTGTTGTAAGCTGTCTGATACTGGTGCTCAGAACTTGAACTTGTGTCATCTGTAAGAGCGACATGTGCTCTTAACCAATTAGACATCTCCCCAGTCTCTCTGACCTCAGATTCTTGTCATTTCTCCTGAATTCCAAGACCCATGTTGGCACTCTTAACATATCTATAACACATATTTTGAATTAAGTAACACATGTGTTCATCATTTCACAACTAAAAGGTTACTTTTATTTTGTAATTAAGAAATAGATAAAACTGAAATACTAGTTAAAAAGTCTTCAGAATTTTTTTAAAATATGCATGAAAATTTTAAAAATTTCTATGTTTAAATGTATTAAATGCAGTGCATAGGATGTACTTCACTCATTCTTAGCTCCTAATACTGTCTTTTGTTTCCTTTCTCTCAGTTAGTGACCTTCATACCTCAACAACCCCCTTCTGTATTCCTGTGTTTCATAGAGAATCTTGTAAATGTAGGTTCTTAAAAGCACATAATCAAGGATCCAAACAACAGCAGAGTATTTTTAATGCATTTTTCTGGGGGTAGCAGTAAAAATGGAGCCCAGGGTTGTTGGCCAAACAGTCTAGTCCAGCTGGTAAACTCTGTGTTCAGTGAGATACGTGTTCCAAGAAGTAGAAAGGGGAGGTATAGTGGAAGTTACCCTGTCAGGCTCAGACCTCCACACATGGACACAGACAAACAGATCCACAGATGTGCACACACATGCAAATGCTACATGCAACATATGCATTCCTAAAACAAACAAATAGCATTCAAATGAGGAAAATAGTTTTTAAAAGGTAAGAAGCACAATTTCACACATGGACACAATATACACTGACTACTCTGAAACGCACACACACAGCTATTCACTCTGTCTTCTCCCCACAGTTTCATCTCTCATGTTCATGTCTACTGATTCCTTTGTGACCTATTGAGCTTAAACAGGACTGTCAGTGTGACTGAAAGAATGGAGTTATCTCATGGAGCCCACTGAGCTCAGTAGTGAGTACACTCTTGAAGACAATGACTTCTCTTCTTCCCAGAATCTGTCTAAAACCAGTAATTTCAAAGGAAAGAGTAGGAACCTGAGTTCCTCTGCTGTCCAAAATATTTTTTACCTCTTCCATATTTCCTGCCATCTCCTTCACAATGTTCCTTTGTCTGGTATAGGGCTAGCTGAGCACATAAGGAACCATCACTTATTTTCTACATAAACATCAGCCATATGTCTCTACATTCGCCACTGTATAAGCTTCCTAAATAACTCAGAGCAGATTTTGTCTATAGATATAAGCATAGATGAGTAGAAGCCATTTTCATGCCATGTCAGTTAAATGAAAACAGAGCAATAATCCTGTCATTTGGTCCTATGATTTCCCCAGGCCATTTGTTAGCCAGGCTTACAGTGACAGGCATAAGTTTTGTCCGTTGTGGTGGTGCTCCAACTCAGTCAGAGAGCCGTTGGTTCCCCACAACATTCATTCCTCAATTGTACTGGTGGAGAAATACTGCCTCGGTACTTGGTCTTTGGATTCCAAGTCTTAAGAGCAGGGTGAGACCAATGACACTTTTTCTCTTCTAGCAGCCCACATGACACCTTCAGGCACTTGAAATCCAGCTAGCAAGTTTCCATCTCAGCTCCAGATTGCTTTACTTATATCCTGTGACTGAGGTGTGTGGCATCTTCCACAATATGAACTTATCCTTTAGTTAGGTAGGAAAACTAGACTGACTGAGAAGAGCATATATATTGAGCAGGAAGTTGGGGGGCATGGAGGGTGTGGAATATATAGCCTCCTTGACAAATCCTTGTGAAGGTATCTTGCACCTGGGAATGGGGACTATGGTCAAGTCATTGCTTCCAGCAGCAGCTTCTTCTACCACACGGCAACCCCACTGATTACTTCATCTGTGTTTTATTTGGATTACAAGACAGGAAGGTTTCTATATGGGAAGGATAAATTTTTCATCTAGGATATTTTTTAGGTTTCATCTAGATTCATTTAGAAAAAAATGAATAAAAAAGATATATATGGGTTTGGGATTTGAGTGATCACAATACAAATGTTTTTATATTTTAAGAAATTATGAAACTCACTCTAATTCAAGTAAATTGAGTTTAAAATGAATTATATTTTTTTCAAATAGCAAATTAAAATGATGATGATATTGCAATTATATTTTAATGTTTTGGAACATGTTAGTTTTAAACTTAGATGTGTTGAAAATGGAAAAAAATTATTTTTCTTACTATACAAGATCATTGAGAATTTCAACTAATGTTCTTATCATATTCGCCCCTCCTGAAATCTTCACAGATCTGCTGCTCCTTTTTTATCAACATACCTTTGTACCCTCTTTTTCTTTTAAACTCACAAAGTCCAATTTGAGTACCCATATATTTATGAATGTGCAGCCTTCCACTGGAGCATGGTTAACCTACAAAGAACCACACATTTAAAGAAAACTGACTCCCCCATCTTAGCAGCTATCATACTCCAATAGCTCCTTAGCTATGATAGGATATTGGGACCATTTCATGTCCCCATGCTGAAATGTTGTCTGGCTTGAACTGATTGATGCAAAACTGTGCATATTGTCAATACTCCTATGGGTTCCTATATGCTACTTCTCTGTTGTGTTTGGAAAACAGTTTCCTTACCATTGTGTACTATCTCTACTTCTTACATAATCTTTCCACTCCCCCTTCCACAATGATTGGTGAGATTTGAGAGAGGATGTGACATACATGTCTCATTTAGGTCTGAGCTCTCTGCAATCTTTTATTCTCTGCACCTTGATCATTTGTGGTCTCTGTGTTAATTGCCATTTACTACATAAAGATGTGATGATGAGAATTGAGAGATGCATCAATATATGTGTAGAATGTTAAATCATTAGGAATCAATTTAATACCTTGTCACTTTAGTAGAATAGTATTAATGTTCTCTTATAGAACCTGTCATTTTGGCCCCAATGATGGTGCCAGGTATGGGTTTCATTTTGTAGAATTGGGCCTTAAATCCAACCGAAAGTGACTCATTACTCCCATGGTGTTGGTGTCACATGTCCAGTGGACATGTCTTGCTGGAGCCCTCAGTGTTGACATTCCTAAGGTTCATAACCAGGTAATACTCATGAATTCTTTTCTCCTTCAGGTAAGTTTGGTGAATCCTGTTCTTCTTTGGTAACATATATTTTTCCTTCCAGCCTTATTAAAGCTAGTCAGTAGAGATGAAGCTTCCACATCAGTACCAGCTTTATTTCTCCATATTCTATTATTCAACTATGTGGAATCTTTAGCAATCAAATCTACCTGTCAGTTTCTGAGGTGAGGGAGAGCCAAGAACAATGGCAATGGACAGTAATGTTCAGGGTACAGGCCCATGGGACCTCACTGCTCAACTATTCTAAAAAATGCAACCAATTCCTGAAACTGGGCATTTTGTTAGTCTGTTGTATCTAGTAGGGACATTGATGCCCTGATATAGGGTCTCCACTTAAAGTATTTTTATAGATGTATATGTATATATTTTAGGAAGAGTCTACATCAGTAGTAAGTTTTCCACATGAATTTTTTGAATCATGTTTAGCATTAGTTATTTTCTTCCATACCTTCTCCTCTCATTCTAGCTTAATAACATCCTTTAAGTCACCTATTGTATAACATATACAAAAAAAAACCCAGAATGTTAACTTCTAAAAGAAATGGAATTCTTGTGCATTCTACAATGTGGATGAACTTTGAAAATTTTCTGCTGAGTTAAATAAAAGGACTAATAGTCTCTATGTTTCAACTTAGAAGATACACTTAAATAACTAAATTAAAGCCTAAGTGGGGAAAATACACCTATGATGGGTCAAAGCTTGGGATGAGAAGCTATTTCCATTAGCTGGGAATTCATTTTTGCACTAATGAATCACTCTAGAGAAGGTTGTGATGATGGTTACATATCAAAGGTTAACTGAGTTGAATTGCATAATAAAAGATGTATAAGTGTTTATCTTGCTGCCTATATTTTACTGGGTTTAAAAATATGGATTGATTACAGTTCTGCATTGAGTGATGGTGAATTAGTTTGCATTACAGTATTATATGCCAACAACTGTAAGCTTACATCACAATCTGAAATGCTAATGTATATATAGCAGGAGAAATCAACCATATATAAATCATTGAAATAATATAAAGCATTGAAATATGATTAGAGAAAAAAGAGCTAGACACAGGAAACAAATCAATTCATTAAATAAAAATCCTACCTTATATGAGACTCATCAGTGTTCAGATTTCACCTAAGGCATCTCTCACTGTACAGAGATGATGGCTTGAATTCAAGCAGAAAATTGGCGTGTTGGTCTTAGAGAAGATTGAATCCAAGTCTATAGCAGAGGTTAGAAAATCAGAGGTAAAATGCAAAAAAAAAGAATAAGCCACTGAAGCTGAGATAGAAAATATGCAAGTAAACCCCACCCATACGTTTGCAGAGGTCTGAGTCATACATACTCACAAAATTCTAAGCTCCCAGAGAAAAGCTACAGCTGCAAAGTTGAGAACTGAGCAGTATCTTGCTCACAAGAAGAGGGAATTTAATGTTGGATCCAAGATAGCTTCTTGCATGCGTGAGAGTTATCAATATCCAATGGAAGGTAACTAAATATAGAACTGTTATAATATATTCCTACAGTACTCAGAGTAGCATCAAACGTAACTATTCACACTCTGAGAAATTAGTAACATCCATTAAGACTATTAAAATATTTTAATGACCTAATAAGTTATGCCTACTGAACAGGCCTATGATGCTCACTAATTGAGAGGCCAAATAAGGAAGGTCACAAGTTCAAGGCTTGTTGTGTTCACTAGAACATGAGAGTTGTAGGCCAACCTGAATTAATTACCAAGATGCTGCCTCAAAATGCAAAATAGAAACAGGGTTGTTGATACAGCTTAGTGGTAGAACACTATCTGTCATGAATTTCTGAGTTCAGTCCTAAATAGAGTAAATAAATCCAGATTGCAAAATCTAAAAATCTAATGGAAATAGTAAAAATGGAATCATATATTTGTACAATTAATAATTTTATTTAACTTTTGCAGAGAGATTATTTTTATGAACAATAATCATGTTGTTCAATGTGATTAGTCATCAGGAAAATGACTAGATAAAGTACTATATATTATCAGTAGATGCTTAGTGCCTAAGACCAAAAATCTGCACTCCCAAGAGTTATTAGGATTTAGTACAACCAGCACTTATATACTATGTTACTGGAAGTATAAATAAATATACTTCTGAATTTATATGGAGATAGTGTTGTTGCTTTTTAGAGTTGACTAGGTACCATTCCTGTGAAACTATAATTTTCTTCCTATATATACATAAAAAAGACAAGCAAAATATATTTCCACAACAGAGAGGTTCAAGAAGACTCATAGCTTCTTTGGGAAAGAATTGCAAAAATAAGTAAACAAATAGAAACATCCACTAATTAGTGGAATATGTAATTATACTGTAATTAGTTCACAAAATATGGAAAATTGAATGCCAATGCATAGTGATGAATACATGAAGGCTTGTTTTAGCAAGATCTTTGAGAATCTCACAGAAAATATATACAGTGAAGACTGGAAAAGGAAACTAGAATAGATTTTATGGAAGCTTGTGGCATGTGGGAATGAATCGGGTGGGGAAGAGAAGGAGAGATAAGGTAGAGAGAGAGAGAATGTGAGAAGATACAGCTAGAATTGAAGGTCATTGGAAGTATGAAATGAAAACCCAGTGCAGTAGAAACTGCCTAAAATATATGAAGGTAATCCTATTGAGGTCTCCTAATAATGAGGAGACATTCTCAACTCATCATCAACTGGGATTTTCAGTACAGTGACTAGGCTGCATTCAATTAAGTTATTGGCCAAAGATATTCCATGCAAACACCTAAAATTAGATAAGCTGTTCTAAGAGAGTAGGTTACTCTCTGTAAGTTGACAGTGGAATTCCATTGCTAAGGACAACACACACAGGTCACTGAACATGGGATAATCAAGCTTGTGCCTGCATCTGGCCTTCACCCCTGTGTTCTAGGGATTTTGGTATGGGAAGATACTCTGCAGGCCACCAGAAAAGAAATGTGGACACCAACCAAGCTACAAAACCTTTGGTCTAATATCTGTCCTGCCTGAAAAAATATGCTGGGGCAATGGTGGCACAGAACTTGTGGAGGTAGCCAACCAATGTCTGATTTGATTTAAGGTCCACTCCACATGATAGAATACATACCTGACACTGCCTGGGTGACCAAGAACCAGAGACTAGATAGTCAGGAGATCTAAAGTAAAATAAAATATTACATAAAATAATAAAAGTCTAAAAAAGATAAAAGTATTAAAATGATTGTTAATGATATTCTGCTGTACTCATAGATTAGGGCCTTATTCAGTCATCTCTGGCAATGAAGAAATCAATGGATGTCTAGGAAAAAGACTTATTTATTAAGCAATAAAATGGGGATCACACTCAAGAATACAAAACGAGTAAATGCACTGCTGAATCAGCTGCCATTCTGCCCAAGGGCAATGGGTACCAACAGGAAGCCACTCTCTGCTGCTTGATGCAGCTTTGACCACCCAAGAGAGTGCTCAATCTCTTCCTCAGCTCATAAGCAATCATATAGGCAGACAAGACAACACTCTAGGGCTTGTTACCCTGAAGCCATTGGCTGAATGGTTTGAATTTCTACACCTCCTCCTTTTTTAAATCTAAATAAGAAGGTTCTAATCCTAATAGAAAACTATGTACAATAGGAAATGCGATTAACTGTTGTTCAGAAAGAAAGAAAAGGTAATAACATAAACAAAAAGGGAACTACAACCTACAATAACAACATCAAGCAAGAAACACATTCTAAATGTCCAGACCACAGGTAATTGGCAAATTACAGAGATTACTGCAATAGCTGTCTTATTCTGAAGAGTCTAAGTCTTGTACCCAATACTCCCTTAGCTAATATATGAGAAGATTGTAATTGTAACTATATAGTCTTCAACCCCATCCCAGACCTGAGAAGGAAAATAATATTACCTGAGTAAGCAGGAAGTGCAAGCAAGCAACTTCCAAAAACTGCAAGAAGTGGTAGAAACACTGGCTGCCTGGTCAGTCACCCAGTGTTTCTCTGCAATGTTGGGGCACCCAACTTTGGCTACAGGCCTAGAATATCTGACAGTTTATTATCAGAAGCAGGAAAATTTGAAGGACTGTCCTATCCTGTCTCAGCAAGATTGAGAAGTCACTTTTCCTTGCATCCTGCTTGTCCAGATTGGACACCATGCTTACTGTCAGCAGCCTAGGCAAGGGCAGTTCTTTGCCCAACAGGAAAATTTTGCCAATAAGAAGACAAACTACGTGTGGAGTGTCTTCAAGGTCCATCATCCTCTTGGGAGTAGATCAGTGCTGCCAGGACTCTGTCTCATGTCAACAGAATTTTAATTTATTAAAACATTTAAAGGTCATATTCTCTATGTCTTTGAAGTGTTTGAAGATTACCTATCTTTCTTAAATATATCTCTGTGTACCTAGAAAACCTAACTAATATAACTATAAATTTGACTATTATAGATAAATATTAATCTGTATTTTAATTTCATATTACATTTTAAATGAGTTGCATAAATACAATATATTAAACAAGAGTAGAAATATGCATACAATATAATAAAATTGACTTTAAATTTGTATCAATAAACCAAAATGCATACTAATGTAAAATATGAAGGTCAATAGTTGTTTTTTGGATTAAAGTAGATTCAGTAACCTACCATTTTATCCTATTATTTTTATATCATAAATTTCAATATCATATCCCCCTTTCTTCTTTTAGAAAGTGATTGACTATGACCAATAATAATTTGTAACCAACCCCCTAAAAAAGATACACATCCGGGCTGTGTCTCGACCATTGCCAGCAGTCTGAAACCTGGGGCCTATGCAGGATTGTTTGGCTTGGCCTGGGAGGAGGGTACTAGACCTACCTGGACTGAGTCTACCAGGTTGACCTCAGTCTGTGGGGAAGGCTTTACCCTGGAGGAGATGGGAATGGGGGGGGCGTTGGGGGGAAGGTGAGGGGGACGGGAGGGGGGAGAACAAGGGAATCCGTGACTGATATGTAGAACTGAATTGTATTGCAAAATAAATTAAAATAAATTAAAAAAAAACAAAAACAAAAACAAAAAAAAACAAAAACAAAAACAAAAAAAAAAAAAAAAGATACACATCCATAATCTATTTTGGGAAATGTGGGCATAGTTTTCTAGACTATTTCCTGTTGTTTGGGGGTTCTGGTAATCTTACAGGGATCCTGAGAAAATTTAGATTTATGGTCAAGTCCTTACTGGGGTATTTTGTGTATTTGGTCCATCTCAGCCAGCAGCCTTGAAGCTGTGGATGTTGAATCACCTGGGCCATCATTACCATCAGAGACCTTTCAGGGGATCTTGCTCAATCAAATCATATTAACATGGAAGCAATCCCTAGTTTCTCATCTTCTGTGGAAACAAAAATAGAATCTCTTTTCTAAAGCAACATATACAAAGATCTAAATTTCAAAATCAAGATACCTTTAAAATATATATGTTGGTTTAACTTAGTAGCCTCCTTAATCAAATATCTCTCTGCAGTTAGCTCATTAACGGTAAAAAATTCAAATAGAACATAATAATATACATAATCCAGACTGTGTATTTTTCCATCTTTACAATGTTTTTTTTTTAAATTTTTATATTACTTTTATTGTCTTCGTAAAGACTTTATTTATTTATTTATTTATTTTGCTGATTTCAGACAGGATTCTCTGTGTAGCTTTGGAGCCTGTCCTAGAGCTTGCTCTCTAGACCAGGCTGGTCTCAGACTCACAGAGATCCACCTGCATCTACCTCCTGAGTGCTGGGATTAAAGGTATGTGTCACCACTACCTGGCCTAAGAATTTTTTTTTATTTTTTTTTTATTTCTTTCTATAACTGCTTATACTCTTTTTCCTCTCTCTCCCAGGACTACATACATTTTTTAAACATACTGTGACCCATTTAGAGGTTTCTTTTTGTCTGAATCTGTCTTTATTGTGTATCTGTAATCTTTTTCTGATCATTGCTTTAAACTGCTAAGCAGGTATTGTGGTGATATTTTAATTGTGGTAAAACGTGATTTTATTTGTATGTTAGTAAATAAAGTTTGCCTGGAGATCAGAGGTCATTAGCAAGCCAGGAATAGAAGTCAGGTGGTGGTAGCCCACGCCCTTAATCTGATCACATGGTAGACAGAGTCTCTGTGTAGTCAAAGACACAACCAAACATGGTAACCTGAACCTTTAATCCCAGGACCAACCATAGAGACCTGGAGGTCTGTATAGACAGGCAGTGATGAGGCAGTCATGTGGATGGGTTTAGAG